CTCTGAAACAAGCAGACGGATCCACGTCTTTGTAAAATCCGCACTTTGCTTCTCAACGTTGTTTCTAACCTCAGTTAAAACTTCTTTCATTTCCGTCCCATCTTACAGAAATATTGAAGGAAGAGCAGAGAAATTTCAGACATGTGACTGTAAATGAAATCCTGAAAAATGCATAGAATCGTATTATGTCTGTAGGACAGTTGTTAACATGCAGCTTGTGCTATGTAGACATCAGTCCTTAATGTGTAGCTTATGCTCTCAGACGTATGAACACATGGCCTTTGACTGGCTTCATAGAAAAGCTGCTTTTGTTAAAAAGCATTCAGGTCACAGCTGATGTAATGTAACAAAACCTGACTGGTGTATGAAGGAAACAGTATGAGATTTCCTATAAACAATAGAAGCTGTGCTCCTTGATTAAACACACAGACTGAAAGGTTCATCCTCGTTCAGCCAGAGTTTCAGGAATAATGTGCTGTAGTCTCTTCCACAGTATTCCAGTGGAAGAATGAATTTTCTGACGGATCTTCTTCTGGTTTCAAACCCGATTCAGCAGATTTCACTTCCAAGGAGCCAGAGGTTCCTTCAGCGAGACAGCTTTTAGATCGCAAAAGTCTGTGTTTCCCATTTAACGCACACCAGTGTTCCCTGTTTTCTCTCTGCAGAACCTTCTGGCGTGTTTTCACAGCGGCTCGGACAGCTTTTCTGGAGACGCCTGCGAGGTGAAGGTGGCGGCTCCTTCTCATTCACCGTCAGCCGAGGCCGAGTACTGGAGGATCAAAGCTATGGCCCAGCAGGTCAGTGTCACTTCACGTGGCTTCGACCTCCGATCAAGAGTCTAGACATCATCCTGGAGTTTAAAATGTCAGATCCTGAAGTTGAAGTTGTACATAAACTTGTATTTTATCACTTGATACTTACAGAGATCCATCGTGGTGAATGCATATAAACACACGTGTACGGGTAATCTTTCTTTAAGCCTGTCCTGTGGATTTAACTGTCTGACCCGAGCTTGTCTGCATGTCCCGTTTCTATCCCAGGTCTTTATGTTGGACACTCAGTGCTCCCCTAAGACGCCCAACAACAAGGAAGGCTTTGAGCACGCTCAGTCCTGCGTCCTCATCATCGAGCTGCCGTCTGACCAGCAGTCCAATGGACACGCTCAGAAGAGGTGCACATCAAAGCTCTGATCACATGGGTGGTTTATTACTCGTCTGATTGGTTTACATTTCTTAACGAGGCTCTGAAGGTGCCGCGTGTTTTCAGTTAGATTCAGGTTTAAATGTGCCTCCTTCTGTGGTCTGTCCTCTTATGTGTGTCTGTCAGTGACTGTGGGGGAAATGTGCTCTCTGAAGTCCACTAACTCTTTGTGCTTGTCTTTCTGCTGCTGTGTTAAAGGAAAATTGGGTAAGACTGTTCTCTGTGTTCATCAACAACCATTTAAAAGTGTGACAAATGCCCACACGAGGCGTGGACAGCACGATCGCCAATGTTAATCTTAAATGAGCTGCACAATGCACAGACAAACATGCAGCGGCTGATTAGATGTAAACCAAAAATAAAGTTGTAATTAATGCAGCACTCAGTCAGCTTCTCGCTTGCAGCTGCATCAACGATACAAGTTTAAGAAGAAACAGAAGCTCTCTTTGTACATTTGCACTTCTTCACGTTACA